TTTAAGCGTACATTTAAGTCGTTTTATTTCAAGAGACTTTTCAACGTTTTTGATGGTGACAACTTTCGTACCTTTGAAATAATTCCTCCTAAATGTCGCCGAGTAAATATCCTTGATGCGTGCACTTGTTAAGCAGCCTATTTAGTCTATTTAAATTATTAGGTTAATATTTAGGAGAGGTTTGGGTTGGAGCTTAAACTTAGTAGGGGACTTATGTCCTATTGCTTTGCTCCGCTACTGCTTTGTCAAATCCTTAAGTAAATGAAGTGAATAATCAAATTAAAGACCTTTTCTCAGAGCACATTCCATCTTCGAAACTTAACAAAGATGAACGTATAGTTTGGGTTTGTAAATATATAAATGCCATCAGTGTAATGTAATATGTATTTTCCCTTGATAATTTAAACAGGCGAGGAAGATCCTATTTTTACTAGGTGATTTTAATATTAACCTACTAAATTGTGTAAACCATCTTGCTTCTGAAAAATTTCTTAATATGATGAGCTCTAATTGTTTATAGCCTTATATTCTCCAACCAACCCGTGTAACTGATAGAAGTGCCACCTTAATTGACAACATTTCTGCTAACACATACAACTTTAATGCTGTTAGTGGAAATCTAGTTACTGAGATTTCTCAGTGATCATTTCCCACAGTTTCTGATCATTGAAGACCTTAAAGTCAATTATGCCTCCTTAAATTGTTTAAAATGTTTGTTTATGAAGTATCTCACCTTGATTTCTCATCTATCTACAATAGTAATTTAAACACTAATGGCAAGTTTGATCTTTTCTATAACCAAATCGACTCTGTTTGCAGGACGCATATACCTTAGAAGAGGCTTTCCAAGAAGGAGGTTAAAATATCGTGTAAACCTTGGATCACTAGAGAAATCCTTGCTAAAATTAAATATAGAGACAAACTTTATTCCAAATTACTTAAAAGTAAACAATTAGATCCGAATATTCATTATCTCTACAAAAACAATTAGAAACAGGGCTGTTAAAGATCTGAAAGATAGTAAATCCAAATACTTTAATCAATATTTTTCTTTAAATAAGTCTAACATGCAGAGGTTGTGGTCCGGTATTAGGTCAATTTTAAATATTGATAAATGTGAAAACAGTTATATAACTTGCATTTTAAATAACAATAAGTCTGTTGATAACCCTAATGACATTTCTAACATCTTTAACAACTTCTTTGCTAATATTGATAAGACTAGGGAGAAGGGAATCCCCCGGGAAAGTCATAACCTGTTATTCTACCTTAAGGGAAACTACTCAGGATAATTTTTTTTTTATCGCCTGTCACTTTAAATGACATTTGGACTTTTATTGGTAAGATGGATGCTAGCAAGTCTTCTGGCCCCTACAGTGTACCTGTTATTATTTTGAAAACTATTAGGGACCATATACACGAGCCTTTTGCATTTGTAGTCAATGATTCCTTTGTTAGAGGTAATTTTCCCGAGAAATTAAAATTAGCGAGGATTACTCCTGTTTTTTAGAAAAGCTCAAGATTTGACATAGACCAATTTCTGTTCTTTCTAACTTTAGTAAATTATTTGAAAAAGCTATGAGCCATCGCCTCTACAGTTATTTGGAAGAATTAAAATTACTTTATCCACTTCAGTTTGGTTTCAGAGAAAAATGATCGACTACCCATGCTCTTATATCACTGAATCTATTCGGCAGTCCATAGATAATAATGAATTTGGATGTGGTATATTTATAGATCTGAAAAAAGCATTTGATACTATTAATCATTCAATCCTATTAACTAAGTTTAACCATTATGGAATAAGATGTACACTATGGAACAAGAGGTGTTGTGCTTGATTGGTTTAAATCTTACTTATTCCAAAGAGAACAATTTATAAATGTTAATGATTATAACTCACTTTCATTACCAGTGACTTGTGGTGTTCCACGACGATCTATTTGAGGACTCCTTTTATTCTTGTTATAAGTAAATGGTTAGTCCAATATTTCTAGCTTACTAACATACCATCTATTTGCTGATGATACTAAAATTTAGTTTTCTAGCAAAAACCTTGGCCACCTTGAAACAACCCTCAATCGTGAACTAAAATCTGTTGCTGGATGGATGAAATGTAATCGATTAGCACTTAGTTTTTCAAAAACTAACTCTATGTTTTTTTTTTTTCTTCATTCCAGTAAACTTAAACCTAATCAGTCATCACGAATTAAAATTGATGATGTACTAATTAATAAAGTTGACTGCACTAAGTGCCTAGACTTAACATTTATTCTAACTTAACATGAAAAAGTGATATTAACGTTTTGGATAGTTTAAAACTATCCAAAACTGTGGGTATCTTTTCAAAAGTGAGACACTTTATCAACAGAAATATTCTTGTCATGCTTTATTACTCCCTTATCAATCCATTCCTCACCTATGGCGTCCATGTCTGGGGTTTAGCCTTTCCCTTATTTCTAACACAATTATTTATTATCCAAAAAAAGCAATCAGAATAATTTCTTTCAGAGAACAAAAATCCCATTCTAAGCCTCTGTTTAAATCCCTCAATCTTCTTAAGCTCAATGATGTTATTAAATTACAAATTCTCTCTTTTGTTTATCAGTGGTCACATAGACTGTTACCCCCTTCTTTCAGCAAATATTTCAAATTTACATCTTTGTTCATTCCTATTCAACAAGGCAATCAAGTAACATAAATATCTATGTAGCCTCAGTTAATACTACTCAATATGGCCGGCTACGGTCCCTAAAATTTACTGGCCATCGCCTTTAGAATTCCTTACCTAAAAGTATAACTAATTCCAATTTCCTTAGAATATTTCGTTAAACCCTGAAGAACTCTATATTAAATTCCATTCCTAACGTGATTTTCGATCGATACCAGCCTTGATTTATCAAAAGTGGTTTCAATTTTAAATCCTGAAAACAGCAAGCTTGATTGTACATTGTTGTCCAATTGTATGAGGCATAGAATAGTTTTAATTGGTATCACATATCACACAGTAACATAAGAGGCAACCATTTGCAGAGCTGAGAGGGTGGAGTTAAAATTTTTTCTCCTTAGAGATGTGTCAATTAACAAGGTGGAGCTTATTCCTGAGAAAGCGTTCCAGAATCTGACCAGTTTAACCCGCTTGTAAGTAGACAACATATAACAAAGGGTATTTATGCCTATAGCAGGAAATACGAATCTGTAGATTTCCATTAATTTAGAATGACTTTCGATCGAAACTAGCCTTTATTTATCAAAAGTGGTTTCAATTTTAAATCCTAAAAACAGCGAGGTTGATTACACATTGTTGTCCAATTGTATGAGTCATAGAATATTTTTCTATCACAATTCACACATTAACATAAGAAACAACCATGTACTTAGCTGATAGAGCGGAATTAACATTTTGCCTCCTTAGAAACTTGTCATGGAACATGTTGAAGCTTATTCCTGACAAAGCGTTCCAGAATCTGACGAGTTTAACCTACTTGTAAGTAGACAACTCATAGCAAATGATATTTCTGCCTATAGAAAGGAATACGAATCTATAGATTTCCATTAATTTAGAGTGACTTTCGATCGAAACTAGCCTTGATTTATTAAAAGCGGTTTCAAATGTAAATGCTAAGAACACCGAGCTCGATTGTACATTGTTGTCCAATTGTACGAGGCATAGAATATTTTTCTATCACATATCACACATTACCATAAGAAGTAACCATGTACATAGTTGATAGAGCGGACTTTTTGTCTCCTTAGAGACTTGTCATGGAACATGTTGAAGCTTATTCCTGACAAAGCGTTCCAGAATCTGATGAGTTTAACCAACTTGTAAGTTATAACATGTAACAAAGGGTATTTATGCCAAATAGAAGGGACTACAAATCCCCTGATTTCCATTATTTTAAAGTGATTTTCTATCAGCCTTGAATCATTAAAAGCTGTTTTAACTCTAAATCCAAACAACAGCGAGCTTGATTGTTTATTGCTGTCCAATTTTGTGCGGCAAA